GGATGTACGACCTTGCCTTTCATGACGGAATACTTCTTTCCAGTCCTTTCTTGCCTACAAGGTCTATTTTGAGAAATCAGCTGACACTCTAATGGGAACTCCTTTGTAGGTAACTGTCTCCTTTTCTCTTGCTGTTTTTAAGATTCTCTTCTTATCTTTAATCTTGGGTAATGTAATTATGATGTGCCTTAGTGTGTTCCTTCTTGGGCCCAACTTCTTTGGGACTCTCTGAACTTCCTGGACTTTCTGGAAGTTTATTTCCTTTGCCAGAGTTGGAAAGTTCTCCATTATTTTTTCAAATAAGTTTTTAATTTCTTGGTCTTTCTCTTCTCTTTCGGTAGCCCTATGATTTGGATGTTGGAACATTTAAAGATGTCCTGGAGGTTCCTAAGCCTCTCATATTTTTGAATTCTAGTTTCTTCATTTTTTTTCTGGTTGAATGTTTCTTTCTTCCATCTGGTCCACATTTGAGTCCCAGTTTCCTTCCCATCACTGTTGGTTCCCTGCACATTTTCCTTTACTTCACTCAGCATAGCCTTCATTTTTTTCATCTAATTTGTGACCATATTCAACCAATTCTGTGAGCATTCTGATTCCAGTGTTTTGAACTGTGCATCTGATAGGTTGGCTATCTCTTCATCATTTAGTCATATTTTTTCTGGAGCTTTGATCTGTTCTTTCATTTGGGCCATTTTTTTTTTTTTTGGTCTTGGCACACTTGTTACATATAAGGGGCGGAGCCTTCGGTGTTCACCAGAGTGGGGCAACCCACATCACTACTTTGTGATGCTGTACTTGGGGGAGGGGTCTGAGAGGGAACAATAGCACTTACTCTGCTCTCTGCTGGATTCCAGTCACTTCCCATGCTACCCACAATCAAATTGAGCCCTTCTGGTGCTGGTTCCCAAGTGGGTGGGCTTGTGTACATTCTATGACCCTGTAGGTCTTTCCAACAAACTCTCCTGTGAGTCTGGGCATTTCTCTAGCAGCTGCAACTCCCACCAGTGTTTTCAGTCAGAGGTTTTAAAGCTTTATTTCCCTGTGTTGGAACCCTGGGTTTTGCGGTCTGTCTCGATCCCCAGTTGTTCCTCCTGGTTTATCTGCTCATGAATGAAACACCAAGTTTTTTATACAGTAATTTTTCTGCATGTCTACTTTATTAACCTATAGCATCAGTAGAATGTTCACGATCCTAATCTACTCTGTCTTTCCACCATGGAGATAAGACTCCCATTTACCTCAGGAAAGGAGTTATCCAACTTAAATGCTGGGGGTCCTGTTCAATTCTTATTTACCAATGTCATTCATGTGTTGATCCTGTTAAGTCTCTTAGATATGACTTCAGTCACACACAACTGAGGGAGCTCCTTATTTAATCAGTGAAATCCAAATAGTGTTCCAGTGACCCTTAGGAGTTTTGCAGATGTGCCTCTGAGGACCACTACAGGGAGAAAATAGGAAATGAGCATTCAGGCCACCAGAGCAACATGTAAGATTTCATGTTATAGCCTTATTGGTGTTTCATTATGTACCTTTAATGTGTGTGTGTGTGTGTGTGTGTGTGTGTGTGTGTGTGATCATTTTATCTACACAACAATCTTGCTATCATCATCTTCATTTGATAAGTGAAGAAATCAGGGCACAGAGAGGTTCAGCAACTAAAGTGACACAGCTAATAAGTGACAGAGTTAGGCTTGGAACTATGGTATTCTGATTTCTGAACCAGCCTTCTTGGATTCTAAGTGGAGTTTATTACAAGTTAAGGACTGTGCTAACTGCTTTACAAGCATTATTTCACTTAATCCTCATAATGGGCCTGCATTATGGGTACTATTGTCTCCACTGTATTCATGGAGAAGTGTAAGGACAAGGATTGTCTACAGTCATGAAGTAGCAGAGCTGGAATGTATACCTGGATATTCCTGATCCAAGAGTTCATTGTCTTAATTCCTAGGCTGTACACATCTTCCCCTGTGTAGTCTTTTTTTCCGCTATAGTATGAGCTCCTCGAGGAAAGAGAATTATGAATTTTTCAGGTTTGTCTTTCAGGAGCCTTAAGCAAGGTGCCTGACTCACAGTCCATACTCAATAAATGCCAGTTGAATGGGAGTCAGGGTGTGCAAGAGACATGAAGCACTTTGGAGGTGACAGGATCAAGGAACTCTGAGACCAAGTGATTAAAGACCGTTCTTATGGATGTTGAAGAGTTAGGAAAGGCAGCAGAAAACTGTCTGATACCAAAATCATCCAGAAAGGTAGGTAGTGCTGTAGTTGTGATAGTACACTTGGGAAAGGGGCTAATTATCCAGGTAGAAACACAGAATGGCTAAGGCTTGATGTGGTTATCATGTTTCAGGGTATAGTTTTATGTTTTGCTGTTCCAAAAAGTTAGTTCTCTCTGTTCTCTAGATCAGGCTTCAATGTTGACACATTAAAGACTCAAGCAATTATTCAAGAACCAGAATATCATGTAATTAAATCCAAATACTTTGACTGAATTCTTTATTTAATTGTAATGGTACAGTTATCTGAGAAAGGCAGAGGCAGAATAGAAAAGACACGTGTTCACTCCTGTTTGGAGAAAATTTGAGTCAATAGAAGGGAATGGTCATCCCAGAACAACAAAGGAGGCTGGCTGGTAATACCTATCCAAGCCTATCCAAGGAAGGCCGTCTGATCTAAGCACACCTGTTCAGATGAATCCTATAGTAAGTGCTCATTAAATGATAGCTGTTATTCTTGTTAAAATAGATGAGAATGGTTCTGGCTGGGTAGCTAAGTAGGTTGGAGTGTCATCCTGATACACCGAGTTTCCAGTTTAATCCCCAGTCCCATTCAGGACACATAGAGACGTCAACCAATGAATGTGTGAATGGGTGGGGCAGCAGGTCAATGTTCCTCTCTCTCCCTTCCTCTCTTTCTAAAACCAATTTTAAAAATAAAATAGATGAGAGTGTGTCCAGGTACCCTTAACAGAGAAACACTTTTTGAGATTAGGTAACTTGTGTTCTATTTCCATGTGTAGCAAACAACTCCCTCCCTGATTATTTGACTTCATATAGAGAGTGTATATAGCCAGAAAAGTTCTGGTCAGACTGAGTTCATCTTAGGTTCACTTTAATAGTGTTTATTCTTGTGAATTAATATCAACAATTTAACATTCTGGAGCATTTCTTTTGTGTGCTTTTTATTTTATTTTTTTAGTACAATTTCCATTTAATCTTTTTCCAGAAAACTTTTTTTCAGTCCTTAAGGACTTATCTCCTTACATGGGCTTTGGTGGAGGTCATGGAGCAGCACTTGCAGGGTGCCAAATCAGTGTTGGGTGTTTGGTCCTTCCAGGCTTCATGAGGATGTTTCCTGACTACTTTGCTGTGAATGGCACAACTCACACATAATGTAGTTTCACATGCGGCTTGAGAGGCACATACATGTCAAAGACATTCTCTTTGGAAATGTCCCTAACCCTGAGGCCTCTATTATGTTTTGAATGATGAACTCCTTCCTCTTCTTCTTTTTATTGCTTTCGGAGAGAGAGAGAGAAGGGGGGGAGGGGAGACAGGAAGAGACAGACTCAGGGAGTCATTTGACATTTCCAACAAGCTAAGAGGTAGCTACTGTTATTATTTTCATTTTACGGATGAGGAAACAGGCACAGAGACAAAGTAATTTGTCCAAGTGAGTAAATAAATGGTGGCTTTCCCTTCAGGAACCACCTATTGTCCATTTGTTAAACTACCTCTTCTTACTTACAATCATATTAAATTAAAGAATGTGTATTTTGCAGTGAGTGAGGGCTTGAAAACATTTTTTTCTCACCTGTAACTATTTTAAAGATACGCTTTTTGGTTTCTTAGGTTTGAATCAACTGATAAATGCGTATGTAGTTATGAACATAGCGGGCTATTTTATTTGTAAACGATAAAATAAAATCAAACACAAGGTGGTTCACCAGCTATTACAGAGTAGGCATTATTAGAACATGACTGTAATTGGGCTTTTTCACTTCCCAGTTTTCATGATTGGCCTGTCCCTATGTTTCAAAACACCGTAATGTAGGAACAACAAATGCAGACATAAAATTATTGATGTCTATCATATTGAATAAGCATGCATTTATTAAGCCTTCTGGGTGTTGGAACTGTATCTTGGGAATATCTAAGGTAGTAAAACTAATATTTTGTGGCCTCTTATAGTTTACAAAGATCCTTTCGGATGATGCTTACGCCACACATTAACTGCAGCACTGAAAAGAAAAAGAAATTGCCAACTTTTCTCTCTGCTTTTACCTCCCTTTCCTTAACTCCTGGAAATCACTAACGTTTATCCATTTACCAATGTACTAGAGCAATTCTTCATTGGAGCTTCTCATTCAAGGTACGGATTGATCCCCGAATTCGGTGTTGAATTAGCTTTTCCTTGATGAGGATCGCGGATTGGCTGGAATCTGAGCATGCGCAGAAGCTCAGCAAAGTTGGGCGGGTTCGGGCTGGCGCCTCCCTTCACCCTCGCTAACGGGAAACGGGTGAGTGTCAGGGAGCTTGCGCGAACCTGGCCGGGGCGCCGGGTGGTGGGTTACGCCTGGAGAGCGCATGGGCAAACAGTACGTCGGTTTGTCCGGAGCGGAGGGGAGAGTGGGCGCCATCTTCTTCTAGGCTCACTGAGGGCTCGCTCTACCTCTCCTGGGGAGGCTGTTGCGACGACGAGTGTCCCCCGCCCCCGGCCAGTGTGTCAGACTCCGCAGCAGTGGTGTGTGTTTATTGCCAAGTGCGAAGCAGTTACCCTGGGGGCGCCGGGGGTGGGGAGGAGTTGGCGTCTGGGACGGAAGAACTGGGAAAGGCGGGGCCGGCAGCCGCGCCAGGACCTAGCTCAGCTTCTGCTGTTAGGGTACCCTCTTTACTTGCTAAACAGTCACTCTCCAGTCAGCCTCCATGTGCTGTTGTGTGTGCGCTTGCCATATTTCTTAAAAGTGAAGATCTCGAGGGATTTCATAGGTATTTTTTTTTCCTTTGCTCTGTCATTGTAGTTAGCGGTGGCAGGAAAGCGCTGAAGGCCCGGCTCGTTAGGTGTGAGAGGGGCCGAAGTGTTTTAAATTTGGAAGTTCACGCTCTGGCGAGTTAGGGCGGAATGTTGGCCCTTGGGACCCGGTAACAGGCACGGAGGTGGGGCGGTCCAGGTTAATTTGAAAGCTGATTTTGTTGGAAGGTCTGGCGACAGCATCGGATCTCACAAAGCAACCTGCTGGGCCTGGCGTGAAAAAAGGAAGCTCTGACCCTTGGGAGTCTGGACAAAGGCTTTGGGCTATAGAAGCGATACCTTCTGCTGATTCCCATTTGAGGATTGATGGATGATGATATGGGAAATCCTGTGCCGTGTGGATCCGTCTTCATTTACAGAGCCTATTGGGGACTATGGCTCTGTCTTCATGCCTTGGGTTTTCATTTGAACCATTACATTATAAGAGGATAAAAGGCAGGTCATCATAAAGAATAATTGTGGACTGGGGGTAGATTATTTTCTGCGGGGGGAAATTTATGCGTTTAGAGTTTGAATGTGCTTTATCATAACTGAGATTTGAAACGTCGCAATTTTCGCTCCCTCACTATGTTTGGGAAACATGTTTGGAATGACTTTGTTACTTGCTAGTTAAAATCAAATGGATCTGAAATAATACCTATTTAAATTTAGCCTCCAGTGCCCTCTCAGGCTTGATTAGAAGATGTACATTTCATTGTTTAGTGAGAATGATAACCAAGGGGGATGAATTGTTGGATAAAAATGCAGCAAAAGGAGTTTAAAATGATTTTGTTAATTTCAGTGACTTGCCCTTAAATGAGTTTTTAAGGACCCATTTCCTTGTTTTCATAGGTTCGACGTTCCAATCCATCACTGTCTTTAAATCAACAGTCAAAAAAAAACTTTTGTTGCATTCATAAGTAGAAAAATTTTAAGTGCTTTAGAGTATTTTGCTTTTTGTGTAATGTTCTAAAAATAGAGTTTCTGGACAATTTGCTTAAGGAAATTACTTGGCAGACAGAGGAAAAGTGCTCGCTTTGAGAACTGGTCACTTACAAGTGGTCTCTTGTGTTGTTGCAGAGATAAATGGTACATTACTCTAGTATCTGAAGGGCAAAAAATTTTAAGCATTATACTTAACAGTGGCAAATTAAAACACACTTTTTTTTATATAGTCTGCTTGAATTGGAATTCATGAGATTTGCCCTCATGGAACTACTTAGTTTTTAAGTTAGGGAGGATAAATTAGTAGAAATCTTTGGAATTTGACATAATTATTCCCTGAAACATCCCTAATTTTTGTTGTAGATTTATTTATGTCCTCAGGGTAAATTCCTTTTAAAGTAAAAAAAAAGGGGGGGGAGGCACACATAATATGTATGTTACACTGTTTTCTAAAGCATTTAAAAAGTAAAAAAAGGAGCTAAATCAGTTTGTATAAGGAGCCTTTAGAACTTGAGTGGGCACAACTCTTTCAGAAGCTGTTTATAGTTTATGTTAAAATGCTGGTGTGGATGTTGGTTTGTTGAAGAACTAGGCTTATATTTGAGGGTTTTTGTTTTTTTTTGGTACTGCGCGGATTTTTCTCTGAAATAGACCATTTCATAGAGCAGTTTTTTTTTAGGTTTACAGCAGTTTTGAGCAGAAGGTACAGATATTTCCCAAATACCTACCTGCCCCCACATATACCATGCAAATATTTTAATATTAAGTCTCATTAATATTTTTAATATTAATTTGACATTGATAATTAAGATGCCAAGCAATTTCTTGATATCTTTTTTTAGTTTAGCTTGTAGTTTATAAAGTTTAATCTTGGACACTTTTCAAAGGAAAATAAACCTTGCAGACTTCAAAGAATATGTCGTCAGACCCCACTTTGTGGGAAAGTGGTAATTGTTTATAAGTACTGAATTAAAGCAACACTTAATTTGCACATTAAAAAGAAATTTATAGCCCTGGCTGGTATAGCTCAGTGGATTGAACTCAGGCCTGCGAACCAGAGAATCGCAGTTTGATTCCCAGTCAGGGCACATGTCTGGGTTGCAGGCCGGTTCCCTGCAGGCCAGTTCCCAGCAGGGGATGCACAAAAGGCAACCATACATTGATGTTTCTCTCCCTCTCTCCTTCTCCTCTAAAGATAAATAAATACATAAATAAATAATTTTAAAAATTTATAATTATTTAATGGCTCTTAAAAACTTACTTGGAAAACTAGATTAAATACTGTTAGGTTATCTTTGAAAGTAGGTGTGAATTTCCTTAAGGAAACACTAGGTTGAGATTTTTCAGTAGTTCCTACTGATAGTCCCCAAGCATTCCAGATATTTTTACTACATTGTCATTTGGGTTTATTCATTAGAACCCGGGATAGTTGTGTGAAATGGAAGCTTGAGAAGATTCTGTATCTGAACATTTTCTGTTCAACTTGCGATGAATAGTGATTTCTTTTAGGAGTTTATGGAGTAGTGTAATGGTTGAGTTTAAGATAAGAAATGACAGTAGCTAAGATTTCTGATTTTAGAGATATTTCGGTATTTGCTTTAATTATATTTGGTTCCGTGTTTGGAAGTGTATATGTAGAACTTAAAATTGTATCCAAATGGTAGCTATTATTTGGATTTTGCTTTAAAAATTGGTTTTTGAAGTGTTTTATTCGTTTATCATTTTGAATGGTCACCTTTTTAATTTGATTTGGTTTTACATTTTGAAAGGGAAGAGAATTACAAGTGTCAGACGTATTAATGAGTTAGGTATTTGGTCTTTTCATGGTTGGAAGAGATAGAAAGTTTGGGGGAATTTTTTATTGTTTTTAAATTTCATTTTACTTGTGGGAAGATTGTCTTTTTTTTTTTTAAAGTGGATGTAAAATTTATATACAATTTAAGCACAGACCTTAAAGATAAAATTCATTTAGCTTTGATAGATTTATGTACCCATGTAACCAGCACTCCAGTTAAAATGTATAACATTTCCATCACCCCTTTCCTCGTATCATTTTCAATCAAGTTTAGTTTATAGGAAGTTTTTAAAAAAATAATTTGCAGATGTCTTCTCAGAATTTGTAGGCCCTTTTTGCTAAAGAATGATTTATTTCCTCTCAGAACAAAGAAGACCATCTTGTAATGCCCATAGTTGTGGTTCCTTATATTGCTTCACTTTTTTAATAGGTCATTCTGAAGTGAATAACCTAATCTGGCGTTGTTTAAAATCAATTATAGAGTCCCGGGATTAATTATATTTCATTTTCTTTCCACAGTTAAGTTGCTTTTACAGAATTAACAGGTGTCCAAGAAATTAAAAAAAAAAAGGTAAGATATCCAGAGTTTAACAGAGGCTTGACAAAAAATGTAAAAGTAGAATAATACATATTAGGTACCCATGGCTTCTGTACTTTATGTCGGGCCAGGGATGCACTAGTGGTAAGCAATTTATTAGATAATGAGCCAGAAATTATGTACTGACCATAGATGGCTTTTATAAACATGTAAAATTCATCATGGTAAAATTCTTTCATCCACAAAGTTCTCTCTCGTGTGTCAGTAGAAAGTATGTTTCTTAGTGAGTCTGAAAATTTTTTTGGTCTTATTGTGAAACAGTACTTGGCAGACTTACAAAGAAGACTTTATATTTTTGTTCATACTATATAGGATAGGTGACATGAAAATATATCTTCAAAGTAGTCGGTTTATTTGTATGTTTAGAGAAAAGTTTATTATTTTTTTAAAGAATTAGATACAATCAATATTTTTGTGAACTCGTATTTTGTTTTCATTTATAAAGTGCTGAAGAAAGTAGGAACCAAGTAATTATTAAGCTTAGTGTCGGATAAGGTACTTCAAAAATAAGACTTGCTATTATGTGTACCTTTTTGTCTGCAGGTCATTATTGCTGTGATTTGAGCTCAGCATGGCTGTAGTCATCCGTTTACTGGGGCTTCCTTTTATTGCGGGGCCTGCGGATATTCGTCACTTTTTTACGGGATTGACTATTCCTGATGGAGGAGTGCATATAATTGGAGGGGAAATTGGGGAGGCTTTTATTATTTTTGCAACAGATGAAGATGCAAGACGGGCCATAAGTCGTTCAGGAGGGTTTATCAAGGATTCATCTGTAGAGCTCTTTCTTAGCAGTAAGGCAGAAATGCAGAAGACTATAGAAATGAAAAGAACTGATCACAAAGGAAGAGAGCGACCAGGATCTGGGGTATCAGGGGTTGACTGCTTATCTGATTTTGTCGAGGGCATTAAAGAAGAAGCAAGTAATTCTGGATATGGCTCTCCGATTAATCAAGATGCTGGGTTTCATACTAATGGTACAGGACATGGTGATTTAAGGCCAAGAAAGACACGGCCATTAAAGGCAGAGAATCCATACTTGTTTCTACGAGGTTTGCCTTACTTAGTAAATGAAGATGATGTACGTGTCTTTTTCTCTGGTTTGTGTGTGGATGGAGTAATTTTCTTAAAACATCATGATGGCCGAAATAATGGTGATGCCATAGTAAAATTTGCTTCATGTGTTGATGCTTCAGGAGGTCTTAAATGTCATAGAAGTTTTATGGGTTCCAGATTTATAGAAGTAATGCAAGGCTCAGAACAACAATGGATTGAGTTTGGTGGTAGCACAAGTAAGGAGGGTGACATTCCTATGAGAACTGAAGAACACTCTCCACCAAGAGGAATAAATGATAGGCATTTTCGAAAACGATCTCATTCGAAATCTCCCAGAAGAACACGTTCTCGTTCCCCACTGGGATTTTATGTGCACTTAAAAAATCTGTCCCTAAGTATTAACAAAAGAGATTTAAGAAATTTCTTTAGAGATACTGATCTGACTAATGAACAGATTAGGTTTTTATATAAAGATGAAAGAAGAACAAGATATGCCTTTGTGATGTTCAAGACACTGAAAGACTATAACACTGCTCTGGGTTTACATAAGACTGTTTTACAGTATCGTCCAGTTCTTGTTGATCCAATTTCTAGAAAACAAATGCTGAAGTTCATTGAATGTTATGAAAAGAAAAGACCAGCATCAGTAGAGAAAGAGAGGATTGGACGTGTTTCACAGAAATACTCTCAAGAAGGCTACTCTGGCCAGAAACTGTGTATATATATGAGAAATTTTCCATTTGATGTTACAAAAGTTGAAGTGCAGAAGTTCTTTGCAGACTTTTCTCTTGCTGAGAATGACATTTACTTGCTTTATGATGACAAAGGTGTTGGTCTGGGGGAAGCACTGGTGAAATTCAAATCAGAAGAACAGGCCATGAAAGCTGAACGTTTAAATCGTCGAAGATTCTTGGGAACAGAGGTGTTGTTAAGACTTATATCTGAGGCACAAATGCAGGAGTTCGATGTAAATTTTTCTTTGCTGTCCAGTAAGGGAAGGCAAGACCATTCAAAATCATGTGATAGGGATGACCCTTCCCATTCATTTGACTCGAATGATCTACCAGTATATGCAGTGGGCCTTTCTGAAAACTATAGGCATCCTCCAGAAGACCCGAGGCAGCTGGACAATTTCAGGCACGCCCAGGGGGATTTCCAACAGCCTGACAGGTGCCCTCCAGAAGACTTCAGGCATTCCCCAGAGGACTTCAGGCGCTCCCCAGAATTTAGGTACTCTCACGAGGGACATTTCCGGAGGCCTCAGGAGGAGGACTTCAGATGCTCTTGGGAGGATTTCAGTTACCGTGGGGAAGAAGACTTACGGCACCCAAGGGAAGAGAATTGGAGGCGTCCACCAGAGGAGGATTTCAGGCAGGATCCCAAGGAGGACTTTAGGCGATCCCCTGAGGAGGACTGGAGGCGACTTCCCAAGGAGGACTGGAGGCGGCTTCCGGAGGAGGACTGGAGGTGGCTTCCTGAGGGAGAGTTCAGACGGCCACGCGAGGAGGATTGGAGACGACCCCTTGAGGATGATTTTAGGCGGCTTCCCCAGGGGGAATGGAGGCGACGACCTAAGGAGGACTTCCGGCGACTTTCGGAGGAAGACTTAAGGCAACCTTTCGAACAGGACTTTAGGCGTCCTCCAGTGGAGGACTTCAGACGTTCTCCTGAGGATTTCAGGTGTTCTCCTGAAGAGGACTTGAGGCGGCATCCCCAGGAGCACTTCCGGAGGCCGCCCCCGGAGCACTTCCGGAGGCCGCCCCAGGAGCATTTCCGACGGCCGCCCCAGGAGCATTTCCGATTCCGACGGTCACCCCAGGAACACTTAAGGCATCCACCTGATGAAGATTTCAGGCGCCTCCCAGATGAAGACTTTAGGAATCCTCCTGAGGAGGACTTTAGTAGGAGTCCCCAGGAGGAAGATTTCAGATGCCCTTCTGATGAGGATTTCAGGCGGCTTCCAGAGGAAGATCTCAGGGCAGGTCCAGAGGAGGACTCTAGACTTCCTGATGATTTTAGACCACCTGGTGAGGGGTTTAGGAGCCCATCAGATGATTTTAGAAGTCATCGCCCTTTTGTGAATTTTGGTCGCCCAGAAGGTGGCAAGTTTGATTTTGGAAAGCGTAATATGGGAAGTTTTCCTGAAGGGAGATTTATGCCTGATCCAAAATTAAATTGTAGTTCAAGTAGAATAACACCTATTAAAATAATGAATCTTCCATTTAAAGCTAATGTTAATGAAATTCTAGACTTTTTTCATGGTTATAGAATCATACCCGATTCAGTTAGGATACAGTATAATGACCAGGGATTACCTACAGGGGAAGCTATTGTCGCTATGGTAAACTATAATGAAGCTATGGCTGCTATTAAAGATCTAAATGATAGGCCAGTTGGCCCACGCAAAGTTCGGTTACTTTTGCTCTAGAGAGAACATCTAAATTGAGTTACCTCCCCACAGTATTGATGGAGTAAAATACATTTGTTTTTTTAAAAAGTGTTTATTTTAACAGTCTAATGAAAAACATTTTAAATTTGATCTGTGACTGGAATAAATGTAAGTAGTGGAATGTAAGTCTAGTTTTCTTTTGCTTGCAAATTGCCGTTTACTTTTTCTAATTAAAGTTATATATGTTTTTTTTTTTTGACAGTGGGGAAGAGGACTAATTCCCTGAGTTCATTATTTTTTGTTGATGTCATGGGTATACCTCAAGACCTGTATAAAGTAGAGCTGTATTTGGGGAAGACAAGTTTTATATTCACTTTTGTTTGCATTCTGTAGTCTATATATTTTACTCAAAATGTATAAGGAAATGGTCATCAGTAACTGATTTGTTCAGGTTTAGCATTTTCATTACTGACTGCCTGCAGAATTAATGCCTTCTTCCTTGTCTGAGCTATTGCTGTGTTAAGCTTCCTATCAGTTATAAATAATTCTAAATGAACATACTGTGAACTTGAAATTTACTCATGTAAAAAGGTTAGGAGATTCTTAGTTTCCATGTTCATGACTTGAAAAGTTTTATAAAAATAAAAAAAAATTGCAACTAAATAGACCAACTAATTAACTTGTATTTGTATAAAAGGGAAAGAAAAGAATTACAGCTTCGTTTGTGAAGTTTTTCAACAGTTACATTAAACAATATTTATGATAGGAGTGACCAAACATTCTGTAATGCTAGTGTAGAGTGTTACGTATAGTCCTGTGGTTTCTTCAACATCTCATCAAACAAACTGGTAAGAGTAACTCAAAATACTTAAAAGACAAAAAATAATTGTAGGTACAAAGAGACTTTCAGGCTTGTGCTGGGAACACCTGATTAAATGGATATGGTTTGTGTTTCGAGGAAGAATTTTTTGATGATTCATGTAACTTCTGTTTTTACTAGGTTCTCATTTTTTTAATTTCAAAACCTTGTATTGAAAGACTAAACAACTATTAGACTTGTGAGATCAAATTTTGACTTTTGATATTTGACATTTAGTATAGAATTTTGCAGAATACTGCATTTGATTTTTCTATACCAGTGATATTAATGGCTAACAAACATTGGGCCATTAATATTTATGTGCTTGGGCCACGTTACTATGTGCTAGGAAGTATAAGCACTTTACATGCATGATCTCAACCATAGAGTATTATTTACCTGTGTTTCATTGATGAGATAATGAAGTTTAGAGAAGTTAAATAACTTGCCTAAAATCAGAGCTAGTAAATCATGGAGCCAGTTTCAACACACTCACCAGTGACTTTAGTTCATGCTCTTAACACTTTTGCCTACTAACTTTGTTAAATGGTACTTTAAATTTTAGTAAGACCTTGCTAAAAACATATTCAAGAGTGAACCATATTTTCTTCCATTGTAGTTTTAAAAATGACATTAAAAAATTAGTGTTCTCAAACACTGCTAACAAACGACAAAGTAACTTTAAAATTTTTTGTATATCCAGGTGTCTCATGGATGCCAACATTATATATTGGCATCTAATTTAAAATTAATTTTATCAAACATGACTTGACTTTGGCTTCTTATAGTTACATAATACAAGTTAGGTGATTTTTGTCGATGCTGTGTCCAGAGATTTCCTACACTGAGCAAATAAATATAAAATATGAATTGATATACAGTAGTTGCCATTTAATATTAGGATATTGCTAAAGTAGAAAACTGACTGTCAGTACTTAATCAATTAGTATTATAAGTATTTTGGAGTAATCTTCAGTGATTTAAAGAAGTCTCAGAGAAGCTAACCTTAACTTTGTTTTTAATAATAGTGAATATTCTGCTTGCTAGTAAAATGAGTAAACTGGTAAGTTTGGTTCAAAAAAGGCTCATCAGTATGGCTCTTCAAACTAGTAAACTTATAAATAGCTAGATGAATGATAAGCTAATATCCAAACCAAGCACAATGAATAAAACAGGAATATTTTTATATGCTAAAAGACTGTATACATAGTTCATTTGGTCAGCATTGTTGAGGACTTAAATGGTTCTCAAATATATACCAATAAAAGCTAAGATGAAGCTTAAAAGTGAAATGTCACTGAATGTAGAACTGCTGAAAGAAGGCTGGTGTGTGGTAGGGGTGGATAAGAGGCTAACAGTAGTAAACACAAGCTTTGTATTTTGATTATAAATGTAAAAAGAATGGATTGATATGAAGTTAATTTTACTCTGTAATCTATCAGTTTAATATATTTTCAAACTTTTTAAAATAAAAAGTTTATTACACAAAGCTGGATTCTGCTAGTTGGGAGCCATTTTTTCATATCTTTTCCCAACTCTGTCTACAGTGGTGTGTTGATGACCAAAATTGGCCATGGTAGTATTACACTATGGAAATTGACAAATGCAACAAATCAGGACATTTTTCACTCTAGGGAGTTGGCTTATCAGCACACCAGCAATTTCAAAGACAATAAAGAGTACACATTTAGTACATGTGTACTAAATAAAGCACCACATACCCATCATCCAACTTCAATATCATCTCATAGCCAATTTTATTTTTTCTTATTGCTAGATATATTAGGTACACTAGGGCATACTGGTTCTTTAGTTAATGCCACTTTAATTATCTTAAAACATTTTTGCCATGGAAAATACAGATTATGTCCAGAAAGTAAACTTAAGCCCATGACCAACAGGTAGATAGGAATCATATTAGGAATGCACTTTTGCCATTTACTGAGAACATAGCCAAAAGTGACTCTTAGTCCATAAATTACCTGTTAAGTAGTACCCTGTCACCTCTGTTTGCCTTAAATGTTAGCTGTCATTTATTGAGCTGCATTAGATACTATATATTTATGATCTATAATTATGTAAATTGTCATCTAACCCAATAACCCTAATAACTGTAAACCTATTTTGGAGATAAGAAATGGAGGCCTATAAGCTAAGTAACTGCTTGAGGTGTTTGCCTGTTATTTTACAAGGTAAAAGGTTTTTATGTACTTAAAGGTGGTTACATTTAAATGGCTGCTTTTAGTTTTTTGGCTCACTGATAAAATATTTACCACCTAGCCTTTTAAGTTTGCACTTATGTCTGGTCTAAAAGAAACATAATTTTACATCAATGAAAGTATTATCATGTATAGTGTTCCTTTTGTCCTTAGAATGTTTCTTTGAGGTAGACAGAACATACATTCTTTTTTTTTAAATTTTACTTATTTATTTTCGAGAGAGGGGAAGGGAAAGAGAAGAGTGGGAGAGAAACATCAATGTGTGGTTGCCTCTCATGTGTCCCCTACTGGGGACCTGGCCTGCAACCCAGGCATGTGCCATGACTGGGAATTGAACCGGTGACCCTTTGCTTCACAGGCCTGTGTTCAATCTACTGAGCTACATCAGCCAGGGCAGAGCATACATTCTTTATCAATTACTTGCTGATTGTTTCACATTCATATGTTTTGACTGTACAGATTAGGCAACTGTGCTCAGGAAAAGTTGCAGCAAAAGAAATATAACCTTGTTTTTTCCTCTCAAGTACAACACAAGGTTTAAGTACTGGGAAAATAAAAATGCAGTGATATCCTTAGTTCCTTAAGAATACCAATTTATTTAGGATTTTTAAATGTTTTGAATATTTTAAAGTACTGAAGTTATTTTATCACATAGGAATATTCACTCAGGAAACAGTGCTTTGTTAAGAACAACCATGAATAACAAAGTCAAAAAACCATTCTAGAAAGTCTTTATTTTTTTGGTATGAATGATTGCTTTTTGTAGTTTTCCCAAGTGATTTTGTAAATTTCGTAGTTTTTATATGCCTGATTGGGATCCATGAAATAACAAAGTACAATTCCCCATCCAAAAAAACAAAAGCATCAGATGCACTGAAAGGCTCTAATTAGTTTTACATTTTCAGGAATAACTGAGTATGCACTTCTTTTTATTAGGTGGTAATTTGGTAAAATTTTCTTAGAATTTTTAATAATTTATGCCTTTCCATGGTGTTTTCTTAAGCAACATTTTACCAAATTACAGCTTTCCAAAAGTTGTAGTAGTACCATGACAACTTGAGTATGAAAGCAGTTTTAAAACTAGAATCAGGCTGAAGGTGCCTTTTAAAAGCTCAAATGTGTGCTATATGTATAGTTATAGAACACTGACATCTGAGGCTCCCATTAGTTTTAATTAAGGGTGATTATGCTCTTGTTGAAAAAGTAAATTTATGTATTAAAAGTTAAAACTTCAGGTTAAAGTAAAAGGGAAAGTTTTTTTTTGATTAAGGCTTTACAGAATTTTGTATTTAATCAGAATGACTAAGGACTCTTTTCTGGTAATGAAAGCATGGTGTCTAACCTAAAAGAAGCGAGTGGTACTGTTAAAATATTTTCTTTTTGGTCATTTATTATAACCTCAGCTAGGTAATTAATATGGAATACTTTTAAAATACATAATCTTTTTTAAAAAATGGAATCTATACAAAAAGATAACACACTGCTAGACGGGATGTTAAAATGACTGCTGTATAATGTTTTTTAAAGCCTTCATTTTTGTCAGCGTAAATTTCCTTTATTTTTCATTTCTTGTAGGATTTCATGTTGAAGTTTAATATATCAAACCAGTATAAAGTTTTACAATTTAGTGATTTTGGATTTCAAGTCATTTAAGATAAAAATGGAAATGTGAAGTTTACTGAAGAAAATGAATTTTCTTCTGTTACATCTTTGTCTTCATAAACTAATTTTCTTCTTCTGTTACATCTAAGTCTTCATCCTCTTCATCATCATCGTCTGCTTGTTGATCCTTTCTTAGTCGACAGGTGGATACCTGTTAAAAAAACATATTTTAAAAAATGTATGTACATGCTTGGTATTTTAAACATGCCCTTACAGAAAAGGGCACATAAAACAAATATGTCAGAAAAATGTCCATAAATAATGATTTTTAGTAATATAAATTTCCTATAGGTTACTGTATTTTAAGGTGGAAACCAGTCAAAAGGTATTCCATTCATGTTATTTTCTGAATAAAAATGTGAAATTATTCCAGTTGGATGCCAGTACTTCAATAACAAAATACTTTTGGAAAAAAGTATAGTCTCAGTATATTATGAATGTCAAAAAAATTTAGATTAAACAATTCTTGGGTCACACAACACTGAGAAAGATCAAAGAGATGGCAAAAGCACAAGGATATTTTGACTAGGCAGTTGGAATAGTAAACTTTAAAAACAAAGTAATTTAAATAGAATGAATTGACAGTCTGAATTCACCACTTAGCTTTAAGTCCTGACTGTTATCACTTGGGTCACCTTGTTCCAAACCTTTCTGAGAGTGATTATATCTTCCAGGGGACATCTGGCAATGTCTGGAGACATTGTTAATTGTCACAACTGGGGGTGTGTGCTTCTGTGTGTAGCATCTCTTCAGTAGTGACTAGTGGTGCTGCTCAACATCTTTACAAGGCACAGGGCAGTACTGTTTCCTCCATCACCAGGTTATATGGCCCCTAGTCCATAGTGCTGAGGTTGAGAAACCCTGGGGTAATGTTATCTAACTTAGGTGTAACGTCATTAACTCTAAATAGTCACACAAAACTTCACAGGTACTGTAATACTAAATTTATGTAATATATTTGTATGTCACAATGTTGGAATCTTAAGGTAAATTGTTTAAGGGGAGAGATGCATGAATATAAAGCAGAGGACAGATGAAAACAGAAGGTGCTGGGTCATATTTACCTAAAAATGTTATTTTGAAAATATTTTGCTCATTTTTAAATTCTGAAGGCAAGATATGAAAAAACACATAGCTCTCCAGATCAGAGTTGGCAAGCCATGGGCCAGTTTGCCTTAAAAAAAAAAAAAAAATTTTACCACAGCACAGCCATTTGTTGTTTTTTTAATATATTGCTTATGGCTGCTCTTAGATGGACAGACCATATATACAGCCCACAAAATCTATTATTTTTCTTGGTGGTCCCTTAGAGAAGAAGGTTGTTGAGCCCTTCTGTTCTACATACCTGGTAACTAAGGCTTTCTGGATATGGACTGAGAAAATTGGCTCTTTACCTAAATATCTGTGCTTCTGGATCTATGGTAGTGTTCAGGAAAAGTGCTTTTTAGGTATAATTTCCAATAAGTCATGATAATGGGACTTAACTCTAAATAGTTTGACTTCAAAATCTATGTTTTTCATATTATACTGGAGAACAAATCTAGATTAGCATTCTCCTGTCTTTCCACCTTGGCTCTGAAGGTTCTGCTTTAGAGAGTAGTATGTGTTACTGTATAAAACATTAATAAAAGAAATAACAGATGCATGGAGTGCAGTCTGGTACCATTATGTCTAAGAGGATAAGGAAGGATAAGTTACATGAGGTCATTTGATTTAAGGGAAACATTTTTAGTACTAAACAATGCCAATGGCAGCAGCTCAAATTCTTTCAAGTTATGGTTTAGCTCACCTGTCCTGTTCCAGATACACACTTAGCTGACAGAGATCTCTGAAGAGGCGACTTCGAATTTGCTCTTACAATATCTAAACGAGATGAATAGTCTGGTGGATACAGAGAATTTCGGAAAACCTGTTGCAATGATAAAACATAAAGTAGATATTAAATAATGGAAATCTAGAAAGCCATGTTAAATTCCTCTTAGTTAAGATTTTAAAAAAATTTTATTTGTTTTTAGGGGAAAGGAAGAAAGAGGGGAGAAACATCAATGTGTGGTTGCCTCCTGTGTGCCCCTACTGGAGATATGGCCGACAATCTAGGCATGTGCCCTGACTGGGAATTGAACCTGTGACCCTTTGGTTCACAGACTGGCACTCATTCCACTGAGCCATACCAGCCAGGGCTAAGATTTTTTTAAAAGTAACCTCCCCCAATCCCTATTCCCCGGTACAAAATTTCAATTATTTATTATTAATTTGAAACAAAAATAAAAAATTAAAAAATATTTTAAGTTGTAAAGCTGAAAACTAAAAAATTCTATTTGAACCATGTGTGATAATGATGGATCCTGAAACTGTCACTTGAGAGATTTTGCTGGGGAAATGTCAAAGTTCCCACCCCAGAAGAATATGCAAGCCAGTAGGAAGGCTGCAAATCACATCTTTGATTCTTTCTGTTGTGCCTGTCCTCAACTCTTACCAATATAACTCCACTGGAGACCCATTATAATTTATGGATTCCAGTCTCACTAGGATCTGGATTGCCATTACTTGTCAGCTCTTTTTCCTTAAAGCTGTGGTTCCAGATCTTACCACTTTTTTAAAGCCTTCCTACGTGTATCTTTTATTTTGCCCCATTTCTCTAACATGTAGACTAAAAGGTAAGGTTATCAGATGTGATTACTTCAATTTCCCCTTTTCCTTAACTCTTCACCTCATGTTTTTTCCCCCCTTAAAGTAAATGTCATTCTGATTCTTTCCAAGGTGCTTTTTTTCCTTTGTCCAAAACTTCAAACCTGCAAATAAAAGGGTTCTCTCTGTACAGGTTCCCTCCCAAAGCAAATAAACTCAAGATCAATTTTTCTTTTTTATTTACTTACTTTAAGATAAAACTTTATTCCTTAAAAATTCTTTAATATTCTACTTCTCCATTCATTTGTCAGTAAACTACAATTAGGCTTTTACCTTCCACTGAAATTGCTCTTGCAAAAATCACCAGTCATTGTTTTGTCATCTTCACTGACCTTGCACTGAAACTTATTACTTCCCAAAGCATGCTTTCGCTGAACTTTTCATGTGCAGTTGCTCTATTACTTCACATCTTTTTTAGTCTTTGAACCATAAATATTTTTAAAGAACTTCCTTTAGGCCACTTTTCCTTTTCTTGACACCTTTCTCTGAAAATTTTACCTATAGTATTTACTGGCTCCCCTGCAACCAGTTCTCTATGGACCTCTTCTGGTGGCTATATTTATGTTCCCAGCTGCTTTCTCTTCTCTTCGATCAGCACTGTCCATTAGAACTTAATGAGATGATGGACATGCTTACTGTTCTAGGCTGTCCAAAAAGGCCATGTGTGTGGCTTCTCAGCCCTTGAAATGTGGTTCCTGTGACTGAGAAATTAAATTTTTTATTTTAACCTTAAGTAGCCACATTTGCTACTGGCTACTACACTGGACAGTGTAGCTCTAGATCGACCTTTACAATGAAAGACATTACCATACATTTAGTAGACCAAGCTAGAAGCCTGAGCATTCTCCCTAAATTCCTTACTTGAGGTACAGTGGAATCAGTTACCGAACTGTTTGAGATTGGAAATGTTTGAAAACTGAGGTTTGACTGTACTTCTGTTTTAATTTTTGACTACATATTTTTCTTTGTGGCTTACTTAGAATAACTTTACTAAAGACCAAAATATTAATCCCATATCAAAAAATTATGTGGCTCCTGACTACCCAGAGTTCAGATGTCTTAGGTGACATCCACATCTTAAGATCACCCAAACCTACCCATCACTTTTCACTTCTAGCCTATATACCTGCATGCAGAACATGTTATATTCTGATTTTGCAATGCTGGTTTTTCATCCTGGAATTCACTCAACCTTCAAGAGCCAAGTCAAATTTCATCATCTGCTTTCTCCTATTCTCTAATCAGTAGCTCCTACTGTTCATACCCTAATACAGCCTTCATCTCACTGTTTTGTAATTATGTCTCCGCAACTGGTTTTAAGTTCCTCTAATGCAAGGAGCCCTGTTTCATCTTTCCTAGCTTAAGATAGTGACCTGGTAAATTAATGATGTTACCATGAACTTAATCCTGACGTATTTTGGGGGAAAAAGGAGACCCAAACTAGAGGATGTCTATATGCATTTCTTTAAACCTTAGAGAAGTATGGAACAAAAAAGAAATCAAGGGGTGAAACTTAACACAAGAGGCAAGATTTGTATTTTAGGGCAATTCAGGCATGCTAATTAGGTTATTTAACAGGTTACTGAGGACCCAATGTGTTTGGCGCCAGACATGGAACACTGGCATCCTGGTGTGATATAAAAGCTGGGTGATTCATTAGTCAACAGGAATTTGGAAGGGATATATTTTTGTTAGAACAAGATTCTCTTTTTAAAACTTTTCTAGCAAAATGAAGTTAAGAGTAGGAAGTTGAAGATAATATACACCCTTGGTTTAAAATTTTAAGCCAGTTAAAATGAATCTCTTATTGCAAAACAACAGATTTACAGCTTGGCAATAAAGCATTTTCCAGTATGGCCTAAGATCTCTTCTAGGCGCGAGTCTCACGATCTAAATATGCTCTGAAGTAACTGCACTGAACAAATGGGCCAAAGAATACTTTTTATGTGCAGAACAAATAAGGTAAGATGGTTTGTGATATAGCTAGATGCCTAATGGCGAAAAATTAAGTGCTGCCAGAGTAAGTCTCAGTAGTTCTCAAAAGCATGCACTACCTAAAAAGAATATCAAGTTATTTCTGTGTTCCTCTCTGTATATTTCCTGTACTTGTTTCCAAGAAATCTTGCTTTTAAAAGATCATTCCTCTTGGTACCTGTTGGATATAATTTTACTTCCCTTGGCCCTATTACTCTCTGTGGACTGTTCTCTTTCTATATGGCATAATAGTAATAGTTTGTACCTATAATTTGTTATGCCTCAGAACCTTTGTATATCTTTCTCTGAAAGTTGTTGCCAGGCATTCTCCTACTCACCCCTCAAGCTTCTAATTAAATACTTCTTTTGATGCTTCATACTATTTGGAGTCCTCCGTGACATTCATTACACTCACAGCACACTGTATGTTTTCCCTATGAGACTGATCACATTATAAAACTTAGTTATACAGTATGTATATTTTTTATTGTCTGAACTCCATTTCTAACTTAAAATGCTAAGTCCTCAGCACTTAGAATGGTGCCTGGTATATAACAGGTGCTCAATAAATAGTTGTTGAGTGAACATTTTATGAAGTAAATACTGTTAAGTACCTCCATTTTAGAGATAAGGATGTTGAAGTATGAAAAAGTTAACTTGCTTAGTATTTCCCCTTTAGGAAGTGGGGAAGTAATACTCAAAAACTGATCTACCACACAGCCCTGAGATGTTGAGTTTATTATGAATCTCTCCTCCCACAAGCTACTCAGTTGATTAAAAATAGTGGCAAAAGAAGCTATAAAGGAAGGGATGTGACAAAAAAGATATCTAGGGCCTCTGGAATGAGGAGGGAAATCATGGGGTTCAAAGGGTCGAAGGAATTTTAGTGTCAGTTAAATGTCATGTCAAGGGTATTAGAAGGCATCAATTCTGAACCTGCTACTTAGTGAAGTATTGTTTCTGCAGGAAATAGTTCATGTCACTCATGAAGAATCACACTTCTGGCAGTATAGTAGTGTAGACAGGGTAAAAACAGTGTTATAAGGCTACTGGATTTGGATCTCAGCTATGTTACTAGCTATGGGAACCTCTGGAAAGTTCCTTAACCCTACTGTGTCTCAGTTTTCTCATCCATAGAAAGGAGAGCAATAAGTACTTCTATGAAAGTTCATGGATTAAAATAAAATGCATGAGTGGCTGGTTTAAAGTAATCACTATATAAGCATTTGATACTTTATTTTACAAATGACAGATAAAAGGTTGACAATCTATTTAAAAAAATAGCACCTGAAAAGGAATGAAAATTAAGAAATGTTTTAGTATTTAGAAGGAGTGGGCACTTATGAAGCCATCTATTGACAGACAGTAAATGTAAATATAATCGCATATGTATAACTAATAAAACTGCTGTGATCGGTTTTGGCATTGGAAAACTACACATACTAAACATGTATCTTTTTTCATGTAATCGGGTTTTACTGGAACCAGCGTAGCAGTGAAAAGCTTGTGGAAGTTAGTTTAAAAAAGAAACTGGGGGAATCTTCAAAACTGTCAAATGGCAGACACTCCCAAATTCTATCATTTATTAATACAGATGGTTATATCTTGAGAAAACATGGCCCTTTTCACTTCTGTAGAAATAGTAAGTACAAATATGTCTTGAATATTCATTTTATCTATTTCAGCAAAAATACTTTTGTGCTTTTTTCCTCCTCTTTTTTGAAAGGTACAAGGGTAGGTCATATACTCTTCAGATATGCTTATTGTTGACAGCCTTTGATATTTAATTGCTCTAATGTTAGTTGGCCAGATTTACTTGCATTTAACTATCTGTACAAAGCAAGCCATACATATATGCCTACATTTATTTCGTAGTTTACAGATTAAGTCACAGAAAGCTGATTAGAAACCTGATTCTGCTTTTTACTAAGTGGCCAGTGGCAAGTTATTTAAAGCTGCAAAACCTGTTTTTGTGGCTATAGAATGAGAATAATAACAGCATCTACTTCACAGGATTGTTTGAGGAGTGAAAGAAATGCATGTAAAGCTTTGGGTACTGTGCGCATGGCGTTAACACTGGAATGTTAGCTCAAATCAATGAATGTTATTTTGAGCACACTAAAGTGACTTATTACCAGTCAAAATGACACATTATTTGATGTAATGGCTTTATTTAGATTACATTTTACTAGCTAGTAAGAAATTAATTCTTGGAACTTTACCATGGTTAATTTGAAAAATTAAATAAGTAAAAAATCATAGGAGTTCAGCTCTTTGGGACTGCACATTATGACAAATTAACCATTGTAGTATTCTGATTTAAGATATTTTTACCCCATACCTAATTTAAGAGATATTTACTACAAAACACTAATGCTGTCTTTTAAATATTTCAATATTAATAGAAGAACTGAGCTTAGACAGACATAGTTGTACCTCTAAATCTTCTTCTTCATCAATCTTTTGTATATTTTGGTAGGCAGCAGTGAAGACCTCTAAAGCTTTGCCATGAAATAACATTTCAATAGTGATAAATTCTGAAAATATTGTCTGAAAAACACAAAAATTTGAATTTAAACAATCATATAAAAATTGCACTGTGAACATAGTAAAGTTATTCCTTACTATATGCTTGCCATTTTATGAAATACAGAGGTATTTGTTTTTCTACAGAGCAAATAAAAGAATAGTTGCAAGACCTTTTGCAGCAAAACCTTCCAATTATACAAAATACCTCCTATCACCATTTACTTACCTCTTATTTTTTAAGTTCTCTTTATACCTTGTAATGGACATTTGTGATAAAAGAGATGTAACTAAAATGTATGACCTTATGAACTGTCACCACATACCTATGAATATTAGATAAAGCAGTTCAGTTCTGAAGCTTGTATTTTAGCAACTACAACTAATGTTTAAATAGAATAAAAAACTAGACTTACAGCGTAAGCCCTTACACTTGTTTAAGATCAGTACAGAGGGAGGTGGAGAATACATGTTTTAGAATGTCAGACACTTTTAATTTTTGAGTCGAGGATTTAGAGACCATCTGTTTACTTATGTGGATCTGTTTTATTGCATTTTGCTTTATTGTGCTTCACAGATACTGCATTTTTTTACATATTGAAGATAAGACCCTCCACCAGTAAAAAGATTACAACTCAATGAGGGTTCAGGTGATGCGTAGCATGTTTTAGCAATAAAGTATGTTTTAATTTATGTATTGTTTTTTTTTAAACACTGTGCTATTGTACACCTAATAGAATCCAGTATAGTATAAGCATCACTTTTATATACACTGGGAAATGAAAAAAATTATGACTTGCTTTTATTGTGATACTCACTTTACCAGGTGGTCTGGAACAGAACCCACTATATCTCTAAGGTCTATCTTTACTTATGTGGAGAGAGGTATTTGTCTTATATTATAAAAGCACCTGAGAAATAAATAAAATAGCCTCACATAAGGAATGAAGTTTAAATCACTTGAGTGAAGTGGGTATTTACTCCTATTTTAAAATATTTTTACAAGTAGACATTCTTAATCTTTGATAGATTATCATGCTATTTTATACCCAGCGAACTCCAAATATTTCCAAATTTATCACACCTAAACCAGCAGGTTTAGGCTTAATGCAAATCTATTCCACTATGGTAACTTTGGAATATATGAGAATTTCCAAATAACAAAAAATTTCAAATATTTGATTATAGTTAAATTCCTGATGGTTGAAATCTCTTGAGCAATTTCATCTCTGAACTAAGATTTTCAATGCTAACATTTTACAGGAGTTACATTTTCCTTAGTTCTTAAGTAAGCTCTGAAATATGTAGATAGGCCTGTCATTAAAGAAAGATACATTATTTCTGTTTATACCTATCCTCTAATAAGAGAACATATACATTTGAAAGTGATCCACTTTGAGTCTGTTAGCATCTTCCAATCTCAAAATTAAGTTTCAGTTTAAAGTATTTTAAATCTCTAAATGACTATTATTTACTATGGGGGTAGGGAGAAACTCTCAAGTGTTCTGATACTTTGGTTTAGTCTTCTGTGGTTTGAACTTTTATCTCTTGACAAAATTTATATTATACACCTCTTTAAGCTCTGTTAATTTTTTACAGTGTTTATTTATATATTTATGTATTTATTTATTTTGGTAAAAAACTGATTGGGAATCAGTGGAACTGCTTAGCTAGTATTCTAGATTTGGAATTTTGACCCAAGAGCCATGAAACCTTAAGATTATCACAGAGACTTCCGGCCAAGATGGAGGCATAGGTAAAAACACTGTGCCTCCTCACACAACCAAAATTAAGGACAACAAAGATCTGGAAACAAAAACACAACCAGAATAGACAGAAAATTGAACTGTACTAAAGTCCAACAACCATTCAACCAGACCAAGTCACAACCCAGTGACTAGGATGCCCTGCTCTGGTGAAAACCTAAGGCTCCGCACCTCATACATAACAGGCTCATAACAGTCAACATAAATTTTTCTGTTGACTGACCGAAAAATTATGGCTCAAACAGAAGAACAAATCAAAGCCCCAGGGCCAATACTTTTAAGTGACCAAGAGATACTCAACCTATCAGATGCACAATTCAAAACACTGGTGATCAGGATGCTCACAGAACTAGTTGATTTTGGTTGCAAATTAGATGAAAAAATGAAGGCTACACTAAGTGAAATGAAGGAAAATGCACAGGGAACCAATAGTGATGGAAAGAAAACTGGGACTCAAATCAATGCAGTGGACCAGAAGGAAGAAAGAAACAAAAGAATGAAGAAACAAGAATTCAAAAAAAATGAGGAGAGGCTTAGGAACCTCCAGGACATCTTTAAATGTTCCAACATCCGAATTATAGGGGTACCAGAAGGGGAAGAGGAACAGCAGCAAGTGGAAAACTTACGTGAACAAATTAATAAAGAAGAACCTCCCCAATCTGGCAAAGGAAATAGACGTCCGGGAAGTCCAGGAAGCCCCGAGTCTCCCAGAGAAGTTGGACCCAAGGAGGAACACACCAAGGCACATCATAATTACATTAGCCAAGATTAAAATGAAGGAGAGAATTCTAGATGCAGCAAGAGATAAGGGGACAGTCACCTACAAAGGAGTTCCCATCAGACTGTCAGCTGATTTCTCAAAAGAGAACTTACAGGCAAGAAGGGGCTGGAAAGAGGTATTCCAAGTCATGAAATCCTAAGACCTACATCCAAGATTGCTCTATCCAGCAAAGCTTTCATTCAGAATAGAAGGGCAGAGAAAGTGCTTTTCAGATAAGGTCAAATTCAAGGAGTTCATCATCACCAAGCCCTCATTATATGAAATGTTAAAGGGACTTATCTAAGAAAAAGAAGATAAAAAATATGAACAGGGAAAGGACAGCAAACTCAGTTATTAATAACCACATCTAAAACAAAAGCAAACTAAACAAACAACTAGAACAGGAGCAGAGCCACAGAAATGGAGATCATATGGAAGGTTATCAACAGGGGAGTGGGAGGATGAGAGTGGGGGAGAAGGTACAGAGAATAAGTAGCATAGATGGTGGGGAGAAAATAGGGGGAGGGCAAGAGTTGTGTGGGAAATTTAGAACCTAAGAACTTATGATATATGGACATGAACTAAAGGTGGGGAATGTGGGTGTGAGGAGGTATGCAGGGTGGAGGGGATTGAAGGGAAAATGGGACAACTGTAATAGCATAATCAATAAAATATATTTTTAAAAAAGATTCTCATAGAGGAGAATTATATTCCTGAGGATATGAGGAGGGAAAACTGCTAGTTATATTCTTATTTCTAGGTAGAATTTCATAAAATAACTGAAAACATGCAGGGAGGAGGATAACATTCCAAGGAACAATAAAATTAGATGGCAAATAAGAACGGGGAAAGCATTATGTTTTTGAAATATGATGATTTCAGTGTGTCACTTTCCAGGACCAAATTGTATTTAGAAATAATTTTCCTCAAATAAACATGGCTAACTTTCAATGATCTCAGATAACCTGTTTATCTGGAATGGGTCAGTATAGTCAGGGATAAAGTTATTTTTTTACCCCTTTTCATACTTATTTGGTATGACTAGAAGACAGTTTTTATTGGGGGGGGCAGGAAGCTAATCTGAAAAATTCTTTACCCATCTGTAAGTATTCTGTAAAGCAGGATAGCAGATTAAAAATATAGGCTGTAGATTAAAATAAACCTGGGTTCAAATCATGACTGAAAATACCAGCTATGCAATATTAAACACTGCTGCTTTCCCTCATTTTCCTCATATACACAATGGGGATAACTGTATGAACCTCATAGGTACTGTCCTAAGGATTAAAGAGTTAATCCAAGAATAAGTATAGTGTGGCTATTAGTTTAGAGTGAGTGCTCAATACGTTAGGTATTTTTATTGCTCAAGAAGTAAACCAGCTAAATTAGAAAATGTTCCTTATTCTAATACTAAAACTTCCATCTGGTTTAATTAGCAAGCAGGATAATTCAACAAAAAAGTTATAAATGGTGTTGTTTTTACATTTTGGCAAATAAAGGGGAAATGACAGTTCTCCAGATTAGAGGCTATTCCATAAGTGATGTCAGAAGAACTTTCTATGCATAAGGTCACATATTTCCTTCACACCACATCAAAACACTACTGTAAGATTAAATATTTAAAATATTAAAAAATCATATAAGTATAAGCAAATATTTATACAATCTTGATGATGAAAACAACTTTTCTAAGCATGACACCAAGGAAGAAACCAAAAAGACTAATAGACCTGACAACAAAAATAAAACTCTTAAGGTAGTAAAAACACATGATAAACAATTAATGGGAAAATACATTTGCAGCATATTTTTTCTGAAAGGGTTAATTTTCTGAATATAAAGAACTGCTATAAATTAATAAAAATGCCAGCATTCAAAAACGTGGGTTAAGGACAAGTGTGAATAATTTAAGGAAGAAATGTGTCATTAAATAGATGAAAAATACTCTGCTTCAACAATACTAACAATGCCAATTAAGACACTTGATTTTTTACATAACAGATTGGCTATTAAAAATACTAATTTTTACAGTGGGGTGCTCACACAAGGTTTTATAGGCAGGTAAACTAGTTCAAGCTTTGTGGACAGAGGTTTAAAAATAATAGGTTACATGGATCTGTTTCTTAGCACAAATATATCCATGATATGTTAAATTTTAAAAAGATGCTATTTATAGTGTGTTCTCATTTATTCTATTTATTTTTTAAGATTTTATTTATTTTGAGAGAGAGTGGAAGGCAGGGAGAGAGAGAGGGGAGAAACATCAACGTGTGGTTGCCTCTTGTGCACCCCTAACTGGGGATCTAGCCTGCAACCCAGGCATGTGCCCTAACTGGGAATTGAACCTGCGACCCTTTGGTTTGCAGGCTGGCACTCAATCCACTGAGCTGCACCAGCCAGGGCATTTAAATATAACTGTAGGAGTAACCATATTAGTTTCCACAGTGATGTTATGGGGAGTAATGAGGTTTATCCACATAAGATACTTAGAATGTGTG